TTTTTCTTTTTGTTTTTGTTGTTTTTTCAAGCAGGGTTTCTCTATGTAATGGCTCTAGCTGAAACTCACTCTGTAGATCAGGCTAACCTCAAACTGACAGAGATCCTCCTGCCTCCACCTTCCAAGTACTGGGTTTGAAGGCGTGCACTACCACCACTACCACCACCACCACCACTACCACTACCACCCCACCCCCGCTGTCTTTTATTTTAATCAATGGGTTAGGTTTAGCCAGTTAGTTATATACCACCCTGGCAGTAGCTGTCTTAGGGAACACTCACCTACTGTTCAGCCCTCATGGAAGAGACTTTGTCCATTTTCTCCTGTCAGAATGTCTCCGATCCATAAACTGCCCCAGAATCCACCTGTCCTTCTCAGTAGACTTGTTGCTCCTCCCTAGGCATCAAATTAAACATCCTCCGTCCAGCCTCCTTAGCCTGCAGATGAATCTGTGTCAGTGTCCTGTTGCCGTGAAAAGACACCGTGACCATGGCAACTCTTACAAAGGAAAGCATTGAAATGGGGCTGGCTTACAGGTCAGAGATTTGGTCCAATGTCATCATGGCGGGGAGCATGCTGGCAGACCTGGTGCTGGAGAGGAGCTGACAGACAGTTCTACATCAGGATTCACAGGCAGCAGGAAGAGAGAGACTCTGGTCTTGGAATAGGCTTTTTGAAACCTCAAAGCCAGTGAGTGGCACACTTCCTCTGCCACACCCCCTAATCCTTTCAAATAGTGCCACTCCCTGGGGACCAAATATTTAAATCTGTGAGCCTACAGGGACCATTCTCATTCAGACCGCCACAGTGCTGAATTTGAGAAGGGAGACAGCTTTCCAGAAGCCAAAATGAGGGGGTCCAGGCCTGAAAGCTCTAGAAGGAAGGACTTGTCCTCCCTGGCACCAGCAGTAGAGCTGGACCCCCCAGTACCCCAAACCACACCTCCATCAAGGGTCTCTCCAGCCCTTCCTGCTCTGTCGCACACAGGGCCCAAGCACTCCAACAGACGACCTGCCCCCTCATGAATCTGCTTCTGAGCTGGGGCTGAGGCTCTGAGGGCCCGTCCGAGCCGGCAGGAGGATGTGGGTGCAGGGCAGGGCCGCAGTCAGAACAAGCCGGCTGTGGCCAGTACATGTCACCGTCCAGCTGTGTGACTGGATCTTGAAATTATCTGTCTTTTTAGTGGGTTTTGTTCCCTCCAAGGAAGTCTGTCTGGAACTAATAGAACGTCTTTCTGTTCCAGGTGTGCCCACAGACATGCCCATAATCACCTCAGAGAAGTAAGTGAGGGCGACCTTGGCTTTGGTGTAGCTGTGTCTTCTTGGGTCTGGTGTTAGATAGTCTGTGACGATGCAACCTTGTACCTTTGTTTTCTCCTGATAGGAGATAATACTTGGAAACTGAGTCTGAACTTAATGTGGCTCAAATCCCATCTGAAATGTGTTGCTTGTTCAGGTCAGTCTCCCGAAACACCAACCGCTGTCGTGTCGAGAATGTGTTCTGAAGTCCTGAGATGCTGGGACTCGGGTTCTGAGCGGGCATCCTAGCCTGTGTGGGCAGATGGTCCTGCCCTCTAGCTTTCTCTACACACTGTAGGGCCAGAGGGTTTCACGGAAGTCCCCGTTCACCCCTCTTAGACACTCTGGAAGCATTTCCCCTGACTCCACAGACACCTGTCTGATGTCCAGCTAGTCCCAACATGCGCATGGTCCTGCCCATGCGACACCTCTCCTAGAATTTCCCCCACTACAATCCTCTCTACTGCCCCAGATACTGGGCCCAAGGCTCTTTTCTCTGTGTCATCTCTCACATGCTTGGGTTCGGAGTCAGTTCCAGGATATCAAGGCCAGACCTGGCATCTCTGTAGCCTGGACTTAGTGGTCCCTTGATAAGACTAAGACTAAGCCTGTAATCTCAGCACTGAGACAGTAGGATTGCTATGAGTACAAGGCCAGCTTGGTCTACATAGTGAGTTCCAGTCTAGCCTGGGCCACAGCCTAAGCCCCGTGTCTTGGTCAGGGTTACTATTACTGTGATGAAACACCATGACCCAGCAGGTTGGGGAGGACAGGGTTTATTTGGCTTACTCTTCCACATCACTGTTCATCATAGAAGGAAGTCAGGACAGGAACTCAAACAGGGCAGGAACCTGGAGGCAGGAGCTGATGCAGAGGCTGTGGAGGGGTGCTGCTTGCTGGCTTGCTTGGCCTGCTTGCTTGCTTGCTTTCTTTCTTTCTTTCTTTCTTTCTTTCTTTCTTTCTTTCTTTCTTTCTTTCTTTCTTTCTTTTTTTTTTTAATTTATTTATTATGTATACAGAAGAGGGCACCAGATCTCATTACAGATGGTTTTGAGCCACCATGTGGGTGCTGGGAACTGAACTCAGAACCTCTGGAAGAGAAGCTGGTGCTCTTAACCTCACAGCCATCTCTCCAGCCCCCATCAGCCTGCTTTCTTATAGAACCCAGGACCACCAGCCCAGTGATGGCACCACTCAAAGTGGACTGGGCACTCCCCCATCAATCACTAATTAAGAAAATGCCCTACAGGCTTGTCAACAGCCCAGTCTTATGGAGGCATTTTCTTAATTGAGGTTCCCCCCTCAGATGACTTTAGCTTGTGTCAAGTTGACATAAAACTAGCCTCATAAAACAAAACAGAGGTCTGTTCATCCCAACCCTCGTTCTCTCTGTCAGGAGCTATTGTGGGCCATGACGCAAATACAGAAGATAGCAATTGATAATTCAATGTCAAACCACCAGATAAATAATTCTCTGATGGAGGAACCCTGTCAAGCAAGGTTTATGGACCACAGACTCTGAAAAACAGGTTGCTTCTGTCTGTAATTTCACATGTGCAAAACTAGCTCTGGCATCTCCCCATTACCATGCATTTTCATGCTATGTGTACATGTAATCCCATGATTATATCTCAACCTTATGGACACATATTCTGTGGATGGCCAAGAAGATGACTTCCCATTAAGCTGTATAATTTTGATGAACTGAAGCATGCTAAGATATCCTTCATAACTAGATCTATTGTCCCACGGGGACTGTGAGACCCTGGAAGCCTGCTTTGTTATTTTAACTCAAGACTAACATAAGAAAACAACAATTTCCCCCCAGTCTATGACAAACCACAGACAGTTAGCTCATTCATAACCTTAGAGCAATTTCAAACTAAACTAAATGCCTCATACTATTAACCTCCACAAAATACACAAGGATAAATTCTCAAAGGTTTTATTATAGAACCAAGGTTAGTAACACAAAGCAACCTAAGATATTTTGCCAATTCTTTGCTTGCTAAGTCTGGCTGCTAAAGGCCTGACTCTGTGCACATCTCTCTGCAGCTTGTCTCACCCTGCACTGTGCCCCCAGCCGTTCTGGTCACAGTCTTACACCAGGAACCTTGAAACTTTGCCTTGCCATGGTAAATGGCTCTGCCTCTTATTGTGTACTCAAGGAATGTGCTATGACCTTCAGAGGTAGCTTTATAACTTTTTATTATTGAAAAAAAGCCTCCTGTAAAATAGAGAGAGAGCTGTGTAGAACAGAGGAGAACTAGAAAGAACGTAGAAGGAATTAGAACTAGGAAGAATTAGAGCTGTAAAGAAGAGTAAAAGAAAATGACCCTCAGATCACGTGTGAGTCTTTTTCCCTCAGATAAAAAGCCGTAAGTTTCGCTACACTGTGGACCTCTTCCTCAAACCCTGTTTGTAGCCTTGGAGCTGGTCTCCATGGGCTGCATTAGTTCTCTAGTTCAGATCCCGGCCTCTCTGTAGAGCCTTGCAATGCCGAGTCCACAGTCATGTTCACACTTTCTAACCCACAAGGCAGAGTCTCACAGCCCTGTGCCCTGCTGGCAAGCAGAGTGTCAGGGAGGCATGTTCCCAGGCTAGGCTTGGAGTGGGGTTTACTTAGAACTTGGCCGGACCCCCGTCCCAGGAAGGCCACAGTACATGGGTCACTACACTCAAAGCTAGGATTCAGAAACAAGACAGAGGCTGGGGACCCCTCCTAGTCAGGCTTGCTGTGCAGATGATGTGAAGTCCCGCCTCCCTGAAGAGCGAAACTCAGCGGCACTGCAGGGTCTGCCGCGCAGGGGCCCAGGAGTGCCTCCTCAGCTCAGGTGTGTTTCCTTCAGCTGCCGGCCCAAAGGACCACAGGCTCAATGACAAAACAGCAATGCAAAACAGCAGAAGTGAATCTGCAGTCCTAGAGGCCAAAAGACCAAAATGCAGGTTTTGACAGGGCCCTCCCTCTGGAGGGCACGGGAGGACCTTTCCTGCCAATCTCAGCTTCTGGTGGTGCCTGCAGGCCTTGGTGTTCTTAGCCAGTCCCTGCCTCCACATTGTGTGTGTGTGTGTGTGTGTGTGTGTGTGTGTGTGTGTGTGTGTGTCCGTCCATGTCTGTCTGTGTTTCCTCCTTCTGTTAAGTGCCCCAGTCAGGATGACCTCATCTTAAATGGAAACAATACACTAATGGAATAGCTTTCCCATGACTAAGTGGGCTCAGCGCCAGAGTGAGAGGAATTGACACATGGGAACAATAAAGCAACTGTTTATGGCAGCGATGCTGGAGTGTGTATGTGAGAGGTGCTGGGCACATGATAGACTTCTCGCTCGTCTCCTGAGTCCTCACCCCAGCCCATGAAGACCCCTCGATCCTCCTGATATCCATGTTCTGCAGGTGAGGAACTGAACCGTGGGAAGTTAAGTTCCTCGCTGGAGGTCAGAATTGGGCCTTCCCGAGCTGGCTCTGGAATGGCCCAGATAATAAATGGGCACGGTTGGCCAGGTAGAGGAGGGGGCCTGGCCAGTGGAAGAGCATGTTCAGAGCCTAGGAACATGAGAGGTGTGGAGTCCTTGCAGCCGTGAGTGGGTTTGCTTCCAGTCCTGGCTCCTCCTCCCTGTGCCCTCTCCCCCCACATCCCCCCACCCCACCCCCAGCACCTACTCTGTTCTTACACTCCTCCATGACTTGGCTGTGTAAGGTATTTCCAGTCGGCAGGGGGACACCACTCTGGGACCCACATGCCGCACACCCAGGCCATTTTCTGTCGTGCTCTTTCCTCTCTGGTCTTAATTGGGATTTCTTCTGCACGGTCCTGTGGCCGCTCTTGTAGTATTAGGTCGTCTGAGATATACTACAAGGCAGGAATGCAGTGGCTGTGGCTTGTGACAGAAGAGGGGAGAGGCGGAGGGGCCCACATCTGCTTTCTTACTATGAGGGCTTCAGGGGTAGCGTAAAACACAAGTCAATTTGTCTCAGCACACGTTGTATTCAAACCTACACATGGCCCTAGACCTGACTCTTCTGAGTCTGAGCTAGCACAAAAAAACTTCTTTCTAGATCTTTCCTGCATTTCTATTGCGTGTATGGGTCACCGGGCCACCATGTCCCCAATGATAAAAGGTTGTATGTGACAACATCTCTGTGAGCCAGTAGGACTAGTGTCCCCAATTTTGTGGGGGAGGAAATGGAAACAAGCTACATAATCTACACAGTAGTAAATGATGACGTTCAGGCTAACCCCCAAACATGCGGTAACAGATTCTCCACATTTTATACTGTTCTGCTACAGGTTTCAGAGTAGCCTTGCTATGTTTCAGCCTTTAAATCTAAGATTCAGCCAGGCCTGCTGACACAGGCCTGTAATACCAGCTACTCAAGAAACTGAGGCAGAAGAATTGGCAAGTTCAAGTCCAGCCCAGGCAGAGACCCTGCCTCAAAAAAGAAAAGAAAAAAACAGGGGTAGGGGTGATGCCCATGGTACTGTGGTAGAGGGCTTTCCCTTGCTTGTGGCCCTAGGTCCAATCCCCAGAACAGCAAATGAATGAGTCAAAGATTCAGCCCCAGTGAACAGGGATGGATGCTCATCTGTGTGTAGGAAAACCAGTGTGAACAGCTTGGGGTTCTGATGAGCTGAGGGGAAGCAGACACCGGTCTTTCTGGGTGCAAAAGCCAGTTTGCCTGCTGGGTTGCATGAGACACGACAGTTTGTGCGCCCTGATATATCCAGGCATCGAATGAAATGACATGTCTCTTCTTGGGCGTGCGCAGAGCTACAGGAGTTGGCTGCTGAGGTCAGTCTTCTGCTGGTCTTTGGTTTGCAACAGGTTCCGATTCACAGGAACACATCCCAGCAGTGACCTGACACAGCCCTGTTGACTTCACCATGGTCTTTATACCTTGGCAAGTACTCAGCTCTTTGAGTGTAGAAATGTAATGTGTTATAATATGCTAAAGATTATTCTGGGGGATTTATTTCTCTGTGTGTGTGTGTGTATGTGTGTGTGTGTGTGTGTGTGTGTGTGTGTGTGTGTGTGTGTGTGTGTGTGTGTGTGTGTGTGTGTGATGTGACTAATCTTGAATGTCAGCTTGACACACATGGGAAGAGGAAACCTCAGTTGATTGCTTCTGTCAGATTGGTCCACAGAGCATTTTCTCAACTGCTGATTGGTGGAGGAGGGCCCAGACCACTGTGGGCAGCACCATCCCTAGGCAGGTGGGCCTGGGCTGTATAAGAAAGCTAGCTGACCATGAGCTAGAGAGTGAGCTAGTAAACAAAGTTCCTCCAAGGCCTTTGTTTCCTTCCCTGCCCCTGGGTCCTACCTGGAGCTTCTGCCCTGGCTTCCCTTTATGGTGCATGTAAGCTCTACGGTGAAATAAACCCTTTCCTCCCCAAGTTGCTTTTGGTCAGAGTGTTTCATCACAACAGAAAGCAAACTTGAACTGTATATAAGGCAGATCATTTCTTTCCATATCCAGTGATCTTCTTGGGTACTATGAAAAATATTGATTCAAATTCACTTTCCAATACTAAATGAAGGGTCTTCTATATGGAAGGAGTATCTGTAGAGAACAATGTGATAACCAAGATTAAAATAAGACAAAATGGATCCCAGTAAAAGGCGGTATTTTCTCTGCCTTATTTGCTAGTGTCTCTTGGTTTTAAATTACATACGTTTTTACACTTTGTTAAATGGGGATTAATTTTGTCTAAGTAAGCAAATGATATCAAAAGGCCAGCGACGCATGCTTGTTGATTGACAGGCGTAGAAGAGTGTGAAGGAGGCAGGCTCTGCTTGTAATCCACCGGTGGGTGCTTCAGGAAAACTCCACATCTTGGTGGGACATCTCGTAGCTTTCTTGGTCATTTTGTTGTCTTGGAGCTGAGACTCGAGTGTGTTATTGATGGTGTTTCTGTTGACAGGTTTCAGCATCGAGTGGAATGGGCCACGGATTTCATGCGTAGACAGGGCCACGATGAGAGCACCGTGCAGAAGACCCTCACAGACTACATAGAACCACTTGAACTTCCTTGCAGAAACGGGGAAGAGGAGGCCCCACGGCATGACCCGCTGAGTTCTGAGGCCGGCTCCTCCCTGGAAGGCAGAGTGGGAAAGGGTGAACTCTTGGTGACCACTGGAGGTGCTGGACAGTCAGATGACCTGCAGGGTCTTAACACACACTCAAAGGACGGCCTGCAGGAGGGGCCTGGCCACACCACACTCACTGTGGCTAGTCCATCTAGCCTTAATGGACATGTGACAGAGGACACCACAGTTCTGCTCCAGGTCCCCAGCCACAGGCAGGAAGTCTTCGTTCCTCAGGATGGCCTGTGGCCTGAAGACAGCAGCCAGGCAGCAGGAGAGAAACGGGCTGCTCATGAGTATGTCCTCGTAGAGGAAGAGCTGTGTGATGTCCAGGAGGAGGAGGAGGCCCCAGATGAGAAGGTACGGAGAAGAAAGTACCATACTCCCCTCATCTGGGCTCCAGTTACAGTCGACCACAGTCTGAGAGCATTGCTGTTTGTCTTGGCTTTTAAAGAGAGAGTCCCCCTTCATTGCTGCTCTCTGTAGCGTGTCAGGATCCCTCTCCTTCCTGCTAGTCATGGTTGTTCATCTCTCACTAATGCAGACTTCACCGTGACTGGCAGTGGATAGGAAAAGTAGGCCAATGGGGTCAGTGCAGTCCTCAGTTGGGGGCGCCCACCAGGACATGTCCCCTGGAGTCAGAGACTGTCAGTGATTTCTCCAGAGTCACCAGCTGCTGGGCAGGCCTGTGGTCAACACTGGGCCTGTGTGACGCTTCTGAGGCCACCACGAAGCACCGCCCCATTGCACAGTAGTTGTGAGGGCAGTTTCAACTAAAATTCAAATTTAAGGGAAAAAAATTTCTTTTTAAAGTAAGTTAAAACAAGTAATTCTCGGTGTCTTGTTTGGAAGAAGAAACACGGTGTAATTGCCTGGTCTCAGGTACTCCTAAGAGAATGAAGATTTTGACACCTAAGAACAGATCACAGCTTGTGAGTGGAAGACACTGTGTCGACAGTGGAGCTGTCCCATCTGCAGGGACAGTCCACAGGACAGTGCTAGCAGAGGAAATCAGACCATCCTTTGTAACACGAATTGCTAAGTGGTCTTATAATAAAAAAAAAAAAACCGTGCCAGATGTTGGGGTAAATACTGAAAGATCAGAGAGACAGAGGAACAAGCCCCTGCCACGTCTCCCCTCCAGGACTCCTCAGCCTGAAAAAGCTCCAGCCGAAAAGGGGCTTTGTTCCGGTCTCCTCAGGCCTTATAGACCTTTCTCCGCCCAGCCATATTACTTCCTTCCTAGGGCTGGGATTAAAGGCCTGTGACTCCCAAGTACTGGGATTAAAGGTGTGTGCCACCACTGCCTGGCATCCATGTTTAATCTAGTGGCTTGTTCTGTTCTCTGATCTTCAGGCAAATTTTATTAAGGTACACAATATATCACCACAATCCTTTTCCATGAAGGTTATTTTACTCAACAGCTTATAGCATTGAATTTATCAAAAAATGTTTGGGGATTCAGTCTTCATGACAGGTGGTGCTCACCGGTGCCCAGGTAGTTGATTCTCTTCTTCCTTTCTTTGTAGTTGCTGCAAAGAAAGAGACTGGTGTGCAGAAGAAATCCATACAGGATCTTTGAGTATCTGCAGCTCAGCCTAGAAGAGGTATGTATGCATCTTGCTCACTCAGCCCTGGGCACCTGTGTACCTGAACCCTACTCGGAGAGCAGTTCTGTATAGAAACTAAATATTGAAATTCCTGCCGGGATGCTGATCCTCTTTCATCAGTTCTGAGAGTGTGTTGGAGCTGGGCTGTAGCTCAGTGAAATCACTAAAATGGTGTGTGAAAGCCCTGGGTTCAAATCCTCAGCAAGGAAAGAATAGGAGCTTTGAGCATTTAAGGGGTTTGTATGAGCTCATCCCCCCACTCCTTTTTCCCCCTCCTCCTCTTTTTTCTTCTTTTTTTTTAGATAGGTTCTTGCTACATAGCCCAGGCTAGCCTGAATTTACAGCTCTCCTGCCTCAAATATGCTGGGATTTGGGCGTATATCATCACATCCAACTTAAGTCCTTTTCTCAGAATAGTGTGGAGTTTAGAATATTCTTTGTTTTGAAGCAGGGTGTCATGGTGTAGCTCTGGCTGCCTAAGAACTCATTATATAGACAGCTGGCCTCAAACACACAGATCCCCCTAACAGCCTCCTGAGTGCTGGGATTAAAGGTGTGCATCACCATGCCCAGCTAATTTTCATCAGCTTTTTAAAAATTAAGATGTAATTAGCATACCAGTTCATTTATTTGAAGTTTGTAACTCAGGCTGAGGATGAAGGTTTTTGACAGAGACCTGCCTGAGATTCACAAAGCCCTGGGTCAATCCCCAGTACTGGAGAGAGAGAGAGAGAGAGAGAGAGAGAGAGAGAGAGAGAGAGAGAGAAGAAAAATACACACTCCATCTAGTGTGGCCACATGTGCTTGTGGTCCCAGTACTTGGAAGGCTGAAGGGTGATCATGTGAGCCCCAAAATTCAAAGCTTGGACAGCATAGTCAGACTCCTTATTTAAAAAAAAAAAAAAAAAGCAGGAGAGAGAACTAAAGTTTTAGTACGCCATGTGAGTCTGATCACGTACTGACTGCCAAGTGAGTGAGTTGATTCCAGTCACTTCCTTCTGCAGAATCACTCAGTGTGCTCCCCTCACTGAATCAGCCACATTCAGAAATGTCCTTCTCAAAACGACATCACGCTGCCCCCCTGATGTGTTCCTCTAGCTCCTGGTCCCACTGGGTTGAGCCCTTTTCCTTGCCCCCATCCGCTCTGCACGCAGACTGTCTTCCTGCTGGGGGAGGCAGTGGCCCCCCTGGGCTTTTCAGGTAGCTCTGCAGCACCACAGCTCTTGACGGACAGGTAGGTCTCTGGAGATTTCTTCCACGTGGTCATTTCAGGGCTGTCTGTAACCCTCCAGTCCCTGGGCCCTGGTCCCTGCCTCTCCTTCCCTGCAGGAAGGCCAGTGATACAAAGCTGAGTGGGAAGGAGTATTGGGGTATCACCTTATCTTTTATTTTTTCACCTGAGGCTGATAGTTTACCCTGAAATTCAGTAGCCACTGGCCTCATGTGACTGTTTTAATTTAAATTAATTAAAATTTAAATTAATTAAAAGTTCAAGTTTCCATTATCCAATCCAAGCCACTTTTTTTTTTTTTTGCACCAAATAGGCATGTGTGACCTCTGTGCTGGATAAAAGAACATTTTTAGTGTCTTGGACAGGAGAGGCTGAGGCAAAATGAAATAAGCCCGGACTCTCTATTCTCTGCTACCTTTCCCCCACCTTGGTATCAGTAGTTGTGATTCCAAGCGTCACACTCCATCGATTTGAGTAGCTACAATTTGTGATCACTTTTATTACTATTAAAATATTGACCCTAACTGTAAAAATACTTCCACCACAACCTTTTGAATGACTTTTTAAAGAGCTCAGATTTTCCTCCATCCCCACATTTAACGCCAGCTTCGGTGTGTACTCATGTAAGAACTTCCCCTGGGCTCTGAGGGTCCACTTTGCTCAGACCATGCTCGTGAACCAGCAGGAAGAGAGGAGCGTGGCTTTGCTCTTCCCTGCATTAGTTCTTAAACTTCTTCTGGGATCATGAGGAAGTGCTGCTCCCACTTCTGCTGGGGGGCCCAAGCCAGGGCTTTGTCTATGCTGGGCAAGAGCTCTGCCGCTGAGCTGCCCCAGTCCAAGAACCAAAGAATTTAAAGGACAAGTGTCATTGTAACTGGTAGGAAAAGACATGATAAGGTTAGAATAGTTAAAAGTGTAAGAATAAGAGATTGGCCCAAAGAGAATAAAACAGACCGTCTGTAGATGGGATTCCAGTGTTCAGTAAAAATCTCATTTCCTATCAGTGAGGAAAAGACAGTGGGTCTGCAGTGTTTGGACAGCTCATTAACCGTGAGGAAAGACGGTAATCCTGCCTCCTAGTGTATGCTAAACACATTCAGGGCCCTTAAAGAAGCTGTGCCAGGTGTGGAGGCACATGCCTGTAACCTCAGTGCTTGGGAAGTGGAGACAAAAAGGTCAGGAGTTGAAAGTTTACTGCCAGCCTGGGCTACATGAGACCCATCTCACAGGTAATACAAACAAACAAAAAGCCCAAAGCTAAATCATTTCACTTAAGTATTTAGCTTTGCCCAATGAATAAGGTCTTGTAAGAAACTGACATACAGATTGCATGCCAGGGCTAGAGCTATAAATCAGTGGTGGAGAGATTTGCTAGGGCCTCCAGGGCCCTGGCTCCTTTCCTACAGACCCCAGCACTGAAGAAAAAGGTGCAAACTGAAGTTTCAGAAATCATTTAACTAGCAAACACCACACACAGATGCAAATTAAACCTAACTTAAACGATTGCCGTAATTGTTTCACTTCGACATTGTAACCATTTCACATAGATTTGGCTTTTTTTACCTAAAAATTTAAGTTAGCATACAAAGTATGACTCATTATATGTTCGTACATGTGTGTCAATATATTATATTTCCATTCTCATCTCATCGGGCCCTTCTCTGTACTACCCCACCCCTTGTTCCCATCTCACTGCCCTTGCTGCCCTCAGATAAACACACCCCCTGCTCCCATCTGGATCCCATTACCTTCTTTTCTTCCCACCCCCCTCCCTGAAGATCTCGTCCTCCTCTCACAGTATCCTTTCTATTTTTACGGCCAACACACATAAATTCAAATATAGATTCTGCATTTGAGGGGGGGAAACCTGCAGAATTTGGCCTTCTGAGCCTGACTTATTTTGCTTCACATAATGATCTCCATTTTCGTGCAAACATATAATTTCATTTTTCTTTCTGGTCGAATGAAATCCCATTGTTCATGTGCACCATGATTTCTCTATCCTTTGCACACAGTAACTGTCCTTAGGTGGTGAAAGCCTTCATGTAAGCCCTATGGCAGACTGTTGGGGGAAAGGAGGCTGGTGGGACCTTGGAGGGATGATGCACAGTAGGGGTGTCCCTCCTAATGTGGTCCTTTGTTCAGCCAGCGTGTCCGGAGGACCTCCTGTGTGTCGGGCAGGGCAGGGCAGGGTAGGTGCTGGAGATGTGAGCAGGAAAAAAACCTCTTCCTCCCTGTTCTTCTGGGAATCTGCAGTTGGGGCGGAGGAAGGGAGCTCCTGCTTCACCTGCATCACCTGCTCCAGAGAACAGCCACAGTGGTGGCTCTCATTGGCCCATAATTACATGGGCTCAGCTCCAGGCCTCAAGAGGAAGTCACACACAATGAGAACAATGGGATAGTGTGTGCGCTGGTCTTCAGTTCCGTGTGCATGGTCTCAGTGATTCTGACTGATTTGTGTATTATCTCAAGTCCTCATATCACCCTAGATCCTGTTGTGATCTCTCTGGGGAAGAAACTGAACCTCAGGCTGGTTAAATTTCTTGCTCAAGATCAGTACTTGGACCTGAGCCATCTGACTCGACAGCCTGAACTCCGAAGCATTTGCTGTGAGCTGCCAATGAGAAATGGCACTAGATAAGATAACGGTGGTCGAGATCATAACTCCATGGCCCAGCATTTGCTTAGCATGCCTGCACCCCTGGCTTTGCTCCCCTCCACATTAAAGATAAGTGAAGTAAGAGACAAAGATAAATGGGTCTGAGCATGGTAGCCCACACCTTTAAGTCCAGCCCTGGGAGGCAGAAGCAAGGTGAATTCCAGGTCAGCTTGATGTACATATCAAGTTCCAGGTCAGACAGGGATACACAGTGAAACCCTGTCTCAAAAAAACAGGAAAGATAAGTAGGGAGAACGTAGTGATACTGTGTTCCCCAATATATTGTGCATCCTAATAAATTTATCTGGGGTCAGAGAACAGAACAGCGGCTAGATAGACACAGAGGCCAGAAAATGGTGGCGCACACACCTTTAATCCTAGCATTCTGGAGGCAGAGATCCATCCGGATCTCTGTGAGTTCAAAGCCACACTGGAAACAGCCAGGCATGGTGACACACACCTTTAATCCCAGTAAGTGATTGCAGAAAGCAGAAAAGTATATAAGGCGTGAAAACCAGGAAGTAGCCTCTGTTAAGCTTTTAGGCTTTTAGGAGCAGTTCAGCTGAGATCCATTCAGATGAAGACTCAGAGGCTTTCAGTTTGAGGAAACAAGATTGGCTGAGGAATTGGCGAGGTGAGGTTAGCTGTGGCTTATTCTGTTTCTCTGATCTTTCAGAATTTACCCCAGTACCTGGCTCCTGGGTTTGTTTTATTAATAAGGCCATTTAAGATTTGTACTACAGGAGAAAAGACTGGCCTCATCAACATAGCACAGGAAAGGTGGCATTCCTCAGTTTTCTGATGGTGACGTCCCAGGCTGTTTCCCCCAGACGGTTAGAGTGATGATCAAATGAGACATGGCGTGTGTCAGCTACCTCTCCTGGAAGGCGTGCAACTACGTGCTCATCTCTCACCATGGGTCCAGTTTTATTTCTGATTCTCTCTGTTGTCCTGACACAAAATGGCAGGTGCTTTTGTTTGTCTGCTTTTTCCTCTAAATTTAAAATGAGCAGTGAAATTTGGTTTGATTGTAGCTTGTAGAAGCATGCAGCTTGCTAAGGGAAAGCTTAAGGGAAAAGGTGGGAGGCGGGTGTTACAGATACACTCCCTTTCTCTTACTCAGTGTAACAGTTCTGAGTTCATGTTCAGGATCAGATATCACATTAACATGACGCAAATCAAAGGCGCATGCGCACGTCTTCCCCGGCAGGTGCCCAGTCAGCCTTCATTCCCTCCCCCACAGCTAGTTCTCTCTAAATTGTTGACACCCGTCATAAATGAAGAAGAATTCGCAGTGACTGCGTCACGTGAGTGGCTTTTGCCTTTTCCTCTGGTGGACACTGACAGCCGTAACGCAGACAGTGGCTTCTTCCCTGTCCTGCTCTCGAACCATGCCATGGCAGACCACCGCTTGGCTGATAATGTGCTCTCTCTCACACGCTCACGCACGCTCTCTCTCTCTCTCTCTCTCTCTCTCTCTCTCTCTCTCTCTCTCTCTCTCTCTCGCACGCTCACGCTCTCTGGGTCTTTAAGGAGTCATGTGATGACTGAGCAAGGCTGCTGCAAAGCTTCAGAGAGGCCTGCCTTTGAGAGCTGGTTTTCCAGCGCTGTGGGCTCTAACTGGAATAAGCCGTGTGATGGAAAAACTGTCACAGGTTCACCTCCCCCTCCGCACCTAAAAGAGAGAGCTTGCTGGTGATGTCAGCTTCGTGAGGATTTGATTCCAAACAAAAATGCCTCGGTGAGATGGGAGAGAGAATGAATGGTTAAGAGCACTGGCTCTTAACCTCAAGAGGACCCAAGTTCTGTTCCCATTACCCATGTGGTGGCCCCAGTTCCCGGGGATCTGACACCCTCTTCTGGCCTCCTTGGGTCCTTGGCACACACATACATGCAGGCAAGACACCGATACACATAAAATAAAATCAATTTAAACCACCTCAGTGAAAGCTTGAATTAAGTCTGCTAGACCTTATTCTATCTCCATTCTGATCCTTTGAGGCTGATTTTTTTTTTAATTGTACCATTCTGACCCAAGAAATGCAAATTTGGCAAAATGAAGGGAACTTATCACCTGGAGCTTTATCTTTTCCATGGTGTTTCTGGTCACCCTGGTCTATCCAAAAACTACAGTATTTAGTGTTAGGAAAGGTAATGAAGAGTTCGGCCAAGGCAAGGTTGTAGGAGGCCTGTAGGGCTGTGGGCAACACTGAGAGAACTAGACCAGCCTTGGGACATGCAGGCCCCTGGAGAAGCAAGCTGAGGCAGGTGCAGAACCCCCAGGGGATCTAGCTGCCTGGGCATAAGCTAAGACAATAGGCATTGAGCCCTCACCAAAGTGGAGCTGGACTGTCCTATAGGCTGAGGGACAGCGTCACTCTGATCTGCCTGATTTGGTCTTCTCCTCAGGGAGGTCTATGGATGAAAGACATTTCCAGACAAAAGCAAGTGCTCTCTGGAGGAGACAGGAAAAGAGTTGCTTGAGCCTGTGTGCGGAAAGGACCATTGACATGGCAGAGAGCAAGAGTGGGAAGAGCTGGCCATATTCTGGGAGCAGCACTGAGCTACCACATCTGCTCTAAATAGTATTTTTTATGAAAAATAACTTTTCCTGTAGTTTTTTTTTGTTGTTGTTGTTGTTTTGTTGCTGTTTTTTTACCTCTTTGCTCTTTGGGGGCATGCCACACAGATCCCAAGTAAATACCCAGAGACTTATTACTTATAAATGCCTGGCGTTAGCTTGACTTGTTTCTAGCCAGCTTTTCTTAAATTATCCCGTCTGCCTTTTGCCTCTGGGCTTCTACCTTTCTCTTCTTTATTCCTTTCTTTACTTCTTACTCCATGGCTGGCTGGGTGGCTGGGTGGCTGGGTGACTGACCCATGGAGTCCTCCTCTCCTTCTCCTTTTCTCCCTTCTCCCCTTCTCTTCTCATCTCTTCCTCTATTTTTTCTGACTGCCAGCCCTGCCTATCCTTTCTCCTGCCTCACTATTGGCTGTTCAGCTCTTTCTTAGACTAATCAGGTGTTTTAGGCAGGCACAGTAACACAGCTTCACAGAGTTAAACAAATGCAACATAAAAGAATGCAACACATCTTTCTTTGCATCATTAAACAAATATTCCACAGCATAAACGAATGTAACACATTTCAAACTAATATTCCACAACATTTTCCAAACTAAGAATATTGAGTCCTGTTTTGCAGATCACAGTGAGGTCTGGCTGTGATGGGCTCTGCCATGGTCTCACTGCAGGCCTTGGGCTTTTCTGTCTCTACCTGTGTCCTCCCCAACTAGCAAGAGCACAAATGAGGCAGATAGTTTTGAGGTTGAGACCCAGGACCTCCAGACAGCCTTGAAGAGCCGCAGCTGTGGAGAACATCAGTGTCCAGTGGCTGTGGGTGGTTCTCAGGAGGTCACTGAGGTGCTAGGCCCTGCACCCTCTCATCCCTGGACACTTCTGCACCTTTCAGCTTTCTGGCCCCTTGTTGCCACTTGTACACCAGGTTGGGACAGGAGGGGACAGTGAAGAAAAAAGCCAAGTCCTGTTTGTACTCAAGAACCCTTCTGCTGTGCACCTGGAGGCAGGGACCATTTGTAATTATTTGGGGTAGCATGTCTCTTGTCTTTTTGGATACTTGGATGTTAGAAAAGTCAGGTTGGGTGTGGTCTGGTAGGGTAGTTCAGGCCTGCAGGAGGGCCTGGGTCTGCAGCATTGCAGTCAATAAAATACAGAGTAACCCAGTGTCAACGAGCCATCTTTTAGTACCGCCCACCACCCCATCTCCTGGGCACCTGAGACCTGAGGGTCATAGTTGACCATACTGACTGCCCGGGACAGAGGCCACAGCACGTGGCTGTTGGGGTTGGATTAGCGTTTGGAAGCATGCTGGCTTTGTCAGAAAGCTACTTTTATTTCTGCTGGGTGATGCTGGGGTGAACCGAGGGCGTGTGAGGCGGTGGCTTCCATGCCTGCCCTAGGAGAGCAGCATGCTTCTAATAAGGACTTTTCCCTGCTTTGTTCTAGGCTTTCTTCCTGGCCTACGCCCTGGGATGTTTAAGTATTTACTATGAGAAGGTAAGTTCTGTATGCCTATAATCTCACCGTTCCCCTGTTGACAGTAGGTTGAACCCCTTCCCAGGGAGCTTTAATACAAATGTGTCGACTTTGACTGAAAAAAAAAAAAATAGGAATTGCCTTTTTCCTGTAAGCTTTGGGTTTGGAGCCTCAACGGAAGCCGTTCAGGCACAAACCAGGGTGACCTTTTAGATTGTGTCTTTCTCAGAACCTGCGGAAGTACAGCTTGTTATACTGTCTCCGGATGGTTCTAAAATCACCACAAAAAGCAGAGCTGCAGGCTGGGTGCAGCTCAGGAGCAGTGTCTGCTTGCCATGTCTGAGGCCTTGATCCATGCCTAGAGCTGCAAAAATAATCAAAGTCACCACTGCATAGTTCCTACACATGCTGTGCAGACCCTTTAAATTCACTGGGTTGGTTTGTTTGATTTTTATGTGTATAGGCATTTGCCTGCATATTTGTGCAGCCCATTCATGTGTGGTGTCCACAGAGGCCAGACAGGGCATTGGATCTCCTGGAACTAGAGCACAGACAGTCATGAGCGGCCATGCGGGGGCTGGGAATGGACTGGTTCTCTTACTTAACCACTGAGCCATCTCTCCAGTCCTTTGCTTTTGTTTTTGAATCAAGAGCTCCATTTGTAGCCTAGGCAGGGCCGGAACACACCAAGTGCTAGAATTCCATGTGTGAGCCATGGCGCCCAGCTTGACTGTGCTGTTTCCAGTCCTTTTTGCCTCTTAGTAGGAGCTGTGTTAACAAGCTCACTGAGGCTCAGAGAAAATAAGTTACTCAGCCAAGGCCACCTGGCTAGTGTGGTTAGAACTGGCTAGTAAACCCATATCGGGGTGACTTTGCAGTCTGTGGTTTCACCTTGGCCAGGGTTTTTGCTGACCTCTAGGCAGATGAAGAGGGGGCAGGCTGTCACTGGACGTTGTCACTGGACTTTTTTTGTCCTTTTTGAATTCAGAACCTTGCTGATGTAATGCCCATTCAAAGTACATAAGATACAATAAAGAAGATGAAGGGAGGCAAAGGGCAACACTTCTTAGGGATCCGCGGGCACCCTGCTGGGACTCCACCTTCTTGGGGAGACTTAGCCACACATACAGGGACAAAAACTAACCCTAGGTGTTTAAGGAGCCCAGGGCCTTGGTGACGCTAAGCACCTGCTCTACCAGTGAGCTGTGGCCCAGCCCTATTTGTGGAATTAAAGCTTAGGCTGAGCTGAACTGAGCGTGTCTTATAGAGCGACTGAGCCCCAGCCAGCCAAAGGGTTGATTCTTTCGCAAAGCAGTGGAACGAGGAAAGACACTTTCCAAACCAACCCAGTTACTTCTGACTGTTTTCTGCTGCAACCTAGAAAAACATTCTCGTTCTGTTCAAGGCCCCTCTCTGGACACAGCTGGGTTATCCCACTGCACTGTCAGGTAGCCTGAGCACAGCTGGGTTATCCCACTGCACTGTCAGGTGGCCTGAGCACAGCTGGGTTATCTCACTGCACTGTCAGGTAGCCTGAGCACAGCTGGGTTATCCCACTGCACTGTCAGGTGGCCTGAGCACAGCTGGGTTATCTCACTGCACTGTCAGTCAGGTGGCCTGAGCACAGCTGGGTTATCACACTGCACTGTCAGGTGGCCTGAGCACAGCTGGGTTATCTCACTGCACTGTTAGTCAGGTGGCCTGAGCACAGCTGGATTATCCCACTACACTGTCAGGTGGCCTGAGTACAGCTGGGTTATCCCACTGCACTCTCAGGTAGCCTGAGCACAGCTGGGTTATCCCACTGCACTGTCAGGTGGCCTGAGCACAGCTGGGTTATCCCACTGCACTGTCAGGTGGCCTGAGCACAGCTGGGTTATCCCACTGCACTGTCAGTCAGGTGGCCACTCTCCTGTCTGAAAGCTAAGATGGAGGCAGGGATCATCTTTGGGCCTTTAATGAAAATTTCACTTACAAAATTATTTTTCACTTTCCTGAGCCTGGCTTGACATTGCAGTAGCTGCTCACTAAAGGGTGGTGGGTTTCAACAAGCCCTGGTGGGTTTCAACAAGCCCTGGTGGGCTTGTTACACTTGGGTCCAACACCTCACACTGGTTCCTTTGCCTAGAATGTCATTACCCTCCCACCTTTTTACATGGCCTCTGACCCCTTGTCCTTTGCTGTTTCTCATTCCTAAGTGTTAGCTTTTCCTCTCCCTCTCCCGAGGATGGATCCTGGAGCCTATGTGTGCTGAGTCCATGCTCCTTCACTGAGCTGCACCCCGGCCTCAGTGTTTCCTCTTCTGGCTTCTCTAAAGTCCTGCTCCAGAAGAGATGAATAAGAGCCTCGGGTGGGAGCCACACAGGTCACTGGAGACTTTTCTGGTGGCACTTGGAAGCAGATTCGTGAAGACTGCAAGTTCAAGGCCAATCTGGGCTACAATTGTGAGACTCTGTCTCAAAAAGGCAGTGCCCCCCACCCACAGAAACAACTTTAACAATATGTGCATAGACTTTTAACTGCACACATGTGGGAGGGCTGGGCTGCAGCTCAGTGTGGACACTTGCCTCAGCGTGTACGAGGCCCTGTTTTGCACACCCAGCACTGCAAGGGGAAAGAGTGTGATTAAGTTCACATGACCCAAATTACCAGGGTTGCTTGGGGGTTTGTTTTGTTTTGTTTTTTTGTTTTTGATGCTCACAGTGATCATGATCGACCCACAGCAGCACCTGTGTTGTGAGGAGCCACACGCGGTGGTCCTGTCACATAGGCAGTGTAGGTCTGGTTTCTCATTTGTCTCCATTGCTGCTGTGGTGCCATGCTCATCCGGATGTCTGCTCCCTCACTGAGTGGCAGTGAATGCATGCAAACTAATGTCTTCTTTTAAAACAACTGTAGGAACCTTTAACAATAGTGAAGCTCTGGCAAGCCTTCACTGCCGTCCAGCCCACCTTCAGGACTACCTACATGGCCTACCACTACTTCCGAAGCAAAGGCTGGGTACCCAAAGTGGGGCTCAAGTATGGAACAGATCTGTGTGAGTAGCTCTTGGCGTGGGTGGCAGATTCGAGGACAGGGTCAGCCCATTCTGCCTGGGTTAGCTATCTGTGATGGTGATGATTTGGATACAAATACTGGGTATTTGGATGGGATGGGTTCCATCCCGGGAGTAAGAAGTGTGTTGGGGAAGCCTACAGGCAGAGCAGGCTTTCCTGATCATAGACGAGAGTTGTGTGGCATGTGCTGCAGCTCAGACGTGAGCTTGTGTGATTTGGGTCAGGCCTGAGCTTTGCTCGCCTCATCCTCCAGAGAAGAGCGTCCTGGAGCTGTGGTGATAGCCCAGCTGTCGTTCATTGAGCACACACTGTCAGTTTTGGTGCTGGACACCCCTGTGACACTTACTCCTTGTGGCAGCCCTTGGCTCTTCTGTGTGCCACGTGAGCGCCTTCCTCCAGGACCCTGCCGAGGGGGTTCCAGGACCAGGCACTCTCCAGCTTTGGATTCTAATGTGCAGGCTCACAGGCACTTGTGCATGTCACTGCCTCCCAGTGATCCCATGGGAGCTGTGAGCATAGAGAGAGGGAGCTGTGTGTCTGGGAAGGGCTTGCTGGGCAGAGCAAACAGCAAGCAGAGAGGCTTGGGATGCTTAGCAGGTCTCAGGAACTGCAGAGGCAAGAGTGGAGAACATGGCTTCCAAGGGAGGCAGGCCAGGACCAGAGCTGGGATTCGGGAGATGAGAAGTCTTTGAAGTGACTGATTTTCGTGGAACCCTCCGAGTGCTGTCTTACTAATGACTAAAAGGACCAAAAAGGAGGAGAAGCTGGTTGGGGAAGCTGGGCCCGACAACTCACCAACAGAACCGAGTGACGCGTGTGTGTAGAGGAGCCAGGTGGCTTCTAGGCACTGGCTCGTATTTTTCTTGTGTTCGGAGTATCTGGTGGAGGCTCAGGAGAGTCCTCATCTGAAATGCTTGACCACAGAAGCATTTTGGGTTTCAGGCACTTACAGGATGAGGTCTCTTGTCAAAGGATCTTAAGTCTAAACACAGACATGACCTGTGGTTTGTGCCTACCTTAAACACTAGGCTGGACTTAATTCTCTTCGTCTTTTTAATGGTTTGATGCACAAGCATATCTTCATGGTGTTGAAGTTTCTGCTTGTGGCCTATCAGCATTCAGCAAGCTTCAGATTGGGGACAGGGGTGGAGCCTGATGGTAAGGCTTTGGCCTTTTGTGTCTGAGGCCTTGATTTTGTTCCTCAACAAGGAAAAAATTCAGATTTTGGAGCCTCCGAGATTAGTGATGCTCTCTGATTAAAAGAGGAAACAGGCAGTCCTGGGGTGCAGGAACACCATGACAGCCCCTGGGAGCTGTAGGTATCAGGAACCCAGGTTAGTTACCATCTATCTTTGGGTTCCCCTGAGTGCTTTTCAGAAGTGTTTGTGGGACTCAGATAAAAATTTCAGGGTATTTGAGGGGCCTGAAAAGTTACAGCCTTTGAGGGCTTGAGGCTGTCATAGCTTGTTCCATATGTTTCTGCAGCACTTTAAATAACCCAAAGGAAGGCATTGCAGTCTTTAAAATTCTTAATGCTAGGACTGGAGAGATGGCTCAGTGGTTCAGGGCACTGGCTGCTCTTCCAGAGGACCTGATTCCTAACATCACCATGGTGAGTAACAACCATCTGTGACTCCAGTTCAAGAGACTCTTACTTCCTCTTCTAGTCTCTGTTGGACACCAAGCACACGTGTGGTGCACAAAAACGCATGCAGGCAGAACATCCATATAATAAAAAATTAAAGCCAGGCAGTAGTGGCGCACGCCTTTAATTCCAGCACTCAGGAAGCAGAGGCAGGCAGATCTCTGTGAGTTCAAGGCCAGCCTGGTCTATATAGTGAGTTCCAGGACAGGCTCCAAAGCTACACAGAGAAACCTTGTCTCAAAAATAAAAAAATAAATAAATAAAAATTGTAATGCTCTAAAATAGGCTGTGCTTAACCTGGTGTTGCTAGAATTCTTTCCCAGAGAGAGACATGAGCAGTATCTACCCCTTCCCCTAATGTCCCGGTGAGGAACTGAGGGACAGTTCTACCAAAGTCTACTCTGGGGAGCTAGTCAGTTTATTGGGGCTACTTACAGTGCTGTGGGTGCTCCCTCCCCACAACAGGCCACACCGAGAAAGCCTTTACCCCAGAAGGAATGAGGGCTCACCCTGTAGACCCCACCCACCCTGTACCCTAGCCTTCCCAGGCCTACTATATACTCTAGCCCCTCCCCATGTAATGAAGGCTGAGCTGTGTACCACAGGTGGTAGGGAGCGCTGGACACTCAGGTGAGGTCTCATGACCCTCCCCACCCTCTGTGGTGGGTAAAAACAGTCCACAAGCGTGGCTGGGATGACCCTTTTCCAAGGGGGCACAGCTGAACTCCCCAGAGAGTTGCTTAGAATTGTGGGATAGTCTTCATGGGGTACCAGCGGCCCAGAGATTGCTTTCTGGACAGTGATTGGTAGGTTGCTATGTGCCCATCCCTCTCGGAGAAGCCTCCTTTGTTCTTCCATCCTAGACGATATGCACGTGGCTGATGGTGTGGACTGGGTCAAGTTGCTGGAGATGTTTCAAGATAGCTGTACTGGTCCCAGATCATCTTTGCCAGGGGGTGGCCTTGTTTTGTTTCTTTTTGACTTCCTGTGGTCACAGCCACTCTACCTACCTAGCAGGTCTCCACCATTCTCATCCTAAGATCGAAACATGAACTGAAGCAAGGCTGTCCAGTATGTTGAAAGGCAGTGTGGGTAACAGAGAGAGCTCTTGGCCTCTCGGCCGGCTCTACCTCCTACTGCCTGTGTGACCTCAGCTGGTTTCTAAATTTGCCTGCGCTCTGTCTTATCACCATCTTGTGATGTTGACGAAACATCTTCATAGAGCACTTCTGAAAAGGACTGGCCGAGATGTGTCCACGTGACCCATGATTTACTCAGAGCATTGAGCCTCCCAGAATGTGGGGTGAAGATGCATATTTGGTTCCACACATGGATTCAAGGGGTAGAGAAGACCTTCATTTCTTAAAGCATCACCCTTGGGTGCTTCATTTTTTGTTTTGCATCTTGAAATGGAGTTTCACTACATTGCCCAGGCTGCTCTCACAGTTGAATGACCCTCCTGGCCCAGCTTCCTGCCTAGCTGGGATTACGCGTGTGTGCCACTGTGCCCAGCATGCCTTCATTTTAGAGTCTTGGAAGCCAGTGCAGAGAGGCCAGTAACTGGCCTAAAGTCTCACAACCTGGGGTGGCAGAGATTGGGCGGGAAGCAATGCTTCTGGGTCCACCTTCATCCCATTGCTGTACCCAAAAACATAGAGAGATGTCTGACTGTATTTGGATGTTTACTTGGTGGGAACTGAGGTAAGGAATACTGAAACACAGTATATAAGAAATGAGGGGGTTGGGGATTTAGCTCAGTGGTAGAGCGCTTGCCTAGCAAGCGCAAGGCCCTGGGTTCGTTCCTCAGCTCTGGGAGGAAAAAAAAAGAAAAAAGAAATGAGTACTCTGATGGCAACGTGACCACAAAAAATAGACTTAGAAATGGCAGGCTAGATGAAGGGATTCTGCTGTGTCCTTGGGGTCCTGAACTGGCTCCAGAACCTCTGTCTTCAAAAAGGAAAGTGTGTCCATTGTTCAAGGGAAACAAGCTTCCCTTGAACTTTCCTCTAGTGGGGAGCAAGGGGGCAGCCAGTGTCCCAGGACCAGCATGTGGCAGCAGGAGTGGTTACTTACAGATTTCATTGTTCATTTGTAAATGTCAGGCCCGGGGGCTCATTGTAGCGTTCACTCGTACTTTACCTGAAAGCCAGTGAGCGTCTCCTCTTGGCTCCAGGTGGACTCTGACAGGTGCTCAGGGCCCCAGGCTGCCGGCTGCTCCATCTTCAGTACAGGCTCTCAGGATCACTCACTAAGTGCTGAGCACAGATCTGCTCAAGACACATGACACAGCGCAGGGCCAGGCCTGGATGCTCAGGGACTGAGAGCCTGGAGGAAGTGGTGGGCATGGTGGACAGCTAGCCAGTACCTGCCTCTAAAGGGTCCCTGAGGTCTACAGTTCTTAGGCCCGGGCTCCTTCAGTGAGAGGCTCTTTTTGATCTCTACAGACTGGCTTCACCCCTCTCTGTGTCAGAGGCCCATGAGAAAGGCAGACTGGTAACTGGGTGGAGTGTGTGGTTGTGGATCTTTTATAGCCTCTTGACTGAATTTCTTTCCTATTTATTCGTTTATTTTCGTTTTTATTTATAAGTGTGTGCATGAACTCAGGTTTGCATGGGCACATGTGCCATGGTGTGGACACAATGTATGGGCATTCATACCAAGCATTTTTACCTGCTGAGACATCTTGCCAGCCCATGCATGTGAATGTGTGTGTGTGATGCACGCGTGTGACTGCAGGTGGGCGTGCATCAGGTCAGAGGAGGATGTCAGGTGGCTTCTTCTGTCATTCTTTGCCTTATTGCCTTGAGACAGGGTTTCTCAGTGAACCAGAACAGAAGCTCACTCTTTTGGCTGGGCTGGCCAGCAAGCCCTTGGGATCCACCTACCACCCCACCCCTCCCACCTCACCCCCCACCACACCACACCCCTGCCCTCTCCACCCCTGCTGCTGGGGTTCCAGGCATGTGCAACCATTACCCACTTTTTATGTGGTGCTGAGGATTGAAACTCAGGTCCTCAAACTCAAACAGCATGTGTTCTTACCACTGCGCCATCTCCCCAGGACCTGGACTTCTACACCTGTGTAGCCAAAAGGCTGAGAAGTGACCCTTGACTTCCCTGAAAATATCCCGGAGGTTTGCTCGTCTCCAGTGCAACACCTGCCACGGCCACCCTCACTCTGAGTGTGGTTGATTTGGAACGAATCGCAAATGCTGTACATTTTATGGACTTGGTGTTCATTCTACCGTGTCACACACACGGAGAAAGACGAGACCCACTTGTGGCTAGGGGTATGGGCTGGGCAGAGTAAATCACTGGACTCTGTCCCCAGCACCAGAAGAAAGCCGAAAAAAATGCCTTGTGTTTAACTCTGGGAGTTGCTTGTGGGGTGGATAAGGGGTGTCGAGGTTTGAGCGGCAGATCTGACGAACTTCTTTGTTTCTGGGAGAAGGAGTTTGGATCTGAAGCCAGGCTGCAGGGCAGAGAGCAGAGTGCCCTCATGCAGAGAGCTGGGTGTTTGCTTTGCTCTGGCCTGGCTGTGATGGCGTAACGTCTCTTTCTCTTCTTTGCAGTGCTGTATCGGAAAGGCCCCCCATTTTACCACGCAAGGTTTGGACATTTTTTAAATAAATTAATTGAAAAAACATAGGAAATTTCTGGCTTCAAGTTTAATTTTCAGTGTCTCAGAAACAATTAAAAGTCATATTCCTAGCCAGGTGATCATAGTGGTGCACGTCTGTAATCCCAGCACTTGGGAAGAAGAGGCAGGAGAATCTCTGAGTTCAAGGCCAGCCTGGTCTACAAAGCAAGTTCCAGGAGAGCCAGCCAGGGCTACATGGTGAAACCCTATCTCAAAAAAAAAAGTCATATTCCTGGGGTTGGAGAGATTGACTCAGTGGTTAAGAGCACTGGCTGCTCTTCCCGAGGACCCAGGTTCAGTTCCCAGCACCCCTATGGTGGCTCACAACCAGAGGGTCCAATATCTTCTTCTGGCATCCAGAGACACCAGGCGTGAACATGGTGTACAACACATGCAGGCAAATTCCTATGCCTACTTTTTTAATAGTTTATTTTTATTTTATATACATTGGTGTTTTGTCTGCATAAGGATGTCAGATCCCCTATAACTGGAATTACAGACAGTCGTGAGCTGCCATGCAGATGCTGGGAATTGAACCTGGGTCTTCTGGAAGAGCAGTCCGTGCTCTTAACCACTGAGCAATCTCTCCAGCCCAAACATAATCCTTATAAAAATAAAACATATCTCTTTAAAAAGTCATATTCCTGGCCAAGTGTGGTAGCACATGTCTTTAACCCCAGCACTCTGAGGAGAAGGCAGGTAGAGCTCTATAGGTTTGAGGCCAACCTGGTCTACATAGCAAGTTCCAGGCTAGCCAGGGCTACATAGTGAGACCCTGTCTAAAAAAAAAAAAAAAAAGGGCATGTTCCTACAGGCTTCAGGCTGTTGGTCACTAGTAATTCTCTTTAGGGGTCTAGGCTTTTAGCAGCAGGCACTGTGAAATCCTTCGTAGTTTTTAGTAAGACACACTGCTCTCTGAACAAGTTGATTTTGTGGCTCTTCAGGATGCCTCTCTTGTCTTCCAGCTATTCTGTCATCGTTGAACTCGTGGACGACAACTTTGAGGGGTCCCTCCGCAGACCTTTCAGCTGGAAGTCGCTGGCCGCCTTGAGCAGAGTCTCAGGGAACGTCTCTAAGGTAGCACAGCTTTAGCCTTGCCTATCACTTAGGTGGTTCCTTTGTTTTTCTCTTAAACATAGTAGAATTTCTTTTTAAGGTGGGAATGTGGGGGGAACGGAGAGATGGTCCCGTGAGTAAGAGCACTTGCTGCTCTTGCAGAGGACCTGAGTTCAGCCCAGCATCCACATCAGACACTCACAACCACCTGTAACTCCAGCTCCAGAGGATCTGACACCTTCTTCTAGCCTCTGTTGGCACCTGCACTCACATGGCATACACGTACACAACGGCACACTCATACACATAAACAAACAAACAAAAAAAAAAAAGGATTGTTTTGTTTTGTTCTCGCTTTTTGAAGTCACTGGAGCCCAGTGGCTCAAAGCTCACACTGCTCTTCATTCCAGAGGACCAGAGCGCTCACATCAGGCCGCTCACAGCTGCCTATAACTCCAGCTCCAGGAGATCCAATGTCCTCTTCAGCCTCCACAGGCACCTGCACTCACATACACATACCTACACACAGGCATGAAGACATACACATAATTAAAAACAAAATAATAAAAAATGTAAAGTTATGCCGGGCGCTGGTGGCACACGCCTTTAATCCCAGCACTCAGGAGGCAGAGGCAGGTGGATCTCTGAGTTGGAGGCCAGCTTGGGCTACAGAGTAAGTTACAGGAAAGGCACAAAGCTACACAGAGAAACCCTGCCTTGAAAAACCAAAAAAAAAAAGGGGTGGGGGGCTGAAGAGATGGCTCAGCGGACCTGGGTTCAATTCCCAGCACCCACATGGCAGCTCACACCTGTCTGTAACTCCAGTTCCAGGGCACCTGACACCCTCACACAGACATACATACACTAATGCACATAAAATAAAAAATAAATAAATTCTAAAAAAAAAATAAATAAATGTAAGGCTGTTTGTACAGCTTGAGCATGGTGTACACGCCCGTAACCCCAGCAGTTGGAAAGTGGAGACAGGGGAATCATGAGTCTGAGCCAACCTGTCTCCCCCATCTGATAGCATATGGAGTGTGTGTTTTCCATCTTAGCCGTGTAATCAGCTTGTGTACTTCACACATGTTCACATCCTCTCCATGATTGTAAAAGCCGGGTCTTTAGAGAAGAGTCAGATCTAGGCAGAAGGCGGTGTGCCCGGTGAGTGCACACCACAGTGTATCGGTGTACAGGGACGGGCAGGGGTGCCTGCTCCTCTCCTCGCGCTCTGGCACAGTGAGGTTTCTCGGTTTCTCTGCAGGAGCTGATGCTGTGCTACCTGATTAAACCCTCTACCATGACTAGCGAAGACATGGAGAGCCCAGAATGCATGAAGAGGATTCAAGTTCAGGTGTGTGCGTGCGGAGATGGAGCCACGGCCTCCCAAGAGTCTGCTCCCAGTGCGTCCTCTGGAAGTCTACCAGGAAGGGTCTTTTCCCGGTGATGGAAAGCTTCTGCTGGCCCTGGAGGCCTCTCTCTCCGTCCCGCTGAACCCGTTAGACTCCACCATCCCACAGCCCCCGTCAGTCCACCTGTGGCTTCCCCATCTCCGGCTGTAACCAGGCCAGGTCTCCCGCAGGTCTCACTCCAGAGACTAGCTGTCTCTCCCTCCTTGAACTTCTCATGATGGTGACTTCTTCAGTGCTGAGGGTGAAAACACAAGGCCTCGCTCACGCTGAGCGCCTGTTCCGCCACTGAGCCTCGCACACCCACACACCTCTCGCACACCCACACATCTCACCTTCTGCTCCTGCGCTGAAGCAGGCGCCCTCTAGTGCTGGCTGTTTTTCCCCTGCCAGGGCTGCCAAGTTCTTTGAGTCCCCAGGGTCTGCTGCCATTCCTGAACCCTCCCCCTTTACCACTGCCCCAAAGCTGTCAACAGCACCTGTGGCTCCCTGCCATGCACCTTGTTTTCCTTCTCTGTAGGTTGCAGCCTCTGGGTCCCAGTCAGGGCCCCTCTCAGCCTCCAGGGCTCCAGTGCCACCTCCCTCCATGTGTTCCGATCTTCATAAAATGTCAACCAGCGTTCGCTTCTCACTTCCATGGCTGACCAGCAAGTGCCAGTGCTCCCAGACTAGGGTCAGGGACTGGCCTTGGCCGCTGCCGTGTGCTGGGGCACTAGTTCAGTGGTGACAGGGGACAGCGTCCCGTGTGAGGGTCATGGTGTTACATGCAGGGGACTCCCGTGTCTTTTTCTGAAGTCCAGCCCTCTTTTGCTCGGTTGCAGGAGGTGATTCTCAGCCGATGGGTTTCTTCACGTGAGAGAAGTGACCAAGATGAGCTTTGACCTTTCAACCTCGGAGTCTACCATTCACCATAAACTCTGAAGGAGCATCAGCATGTTTGGGGGTCATAGCCCCATGTTCTGTTGCTTTAAATGGAAAATCTTCTCCTGTGGCTCAGCTCACCCAAGAACTTGAACCAGTAATCCAAATAACTGAAAAATCAATGATGGTCTGGAAGCCTTGAAATACTGAGTGACTGATGCATTCTCAGTGAACTCATTATTTGACATGTTCTCATGTTGAACACAATATTATACAGTATTAGCTATTTAAAATGCAGCTTGCACCAGGTAGAGGTGTCGCACACCTTTAATCCCAGCACTTGGGAGGCAGAAGCAGGCAGATTTCTGAGTTCAAGTCCAGCCTGGTCTACAAAATAAGCCCAGAAAAAAATTTGTCTTCTTTGGGGAACTTTTTATAAAATAAAAATAAACAGTGAAGCTTTTGGAAAGGTAACGTTTACATCCAGCGGAACATGACATCATCCCCCTCTTCCCGTGGGTCGAGAGCAGAGAAACTTGCCTGAGGGGCATAAGGGCATCTTAGCCAGTTTTTATGTTTCTATAGCAGAATGCTTAGTACTAGATAGCACGTAAAGAAAAGGGCTTATTCTGTTCATGATTTTGGTTCATGGCTGGAAAGTCATGGCCCAGGTCTGGCACTTGCTGGCATCATGGCATTCTGGAGAAGTGGAGAGGGCATGACCAGTGGGGATGGGTAGACAACTCTCTACCAGTCTGGGTAACCAACCCATCCTTAAGAACTGCGTTAACCCTGAGCCGCGCTCCTGCCCTCACGCACATCAGGCCTCACGATCTGAGGTGAGGTTCAGTCGGGGCAGCTCCTCCCTGTCCCAGACCCCCAGCGAGCATCAGTGGGCTGTATGGACACGCTTGCTCCCAGTTCAGTGTTGCTGACTTTTTTTTTTTTAGAATTTTTACCATCATGTGCTTCCCCCAGGCTCCTGAGTAGAGATTTCTTGTGGTTTCTTATTGTTTTGAGTCATCAATTTTCAGAACTTTTAAAGTCAGCCGAAAGTTTGAGGAGCCGCTTCACATATTTCATTTAGTCCTGCACAGGGCTTGGATGTACTGCAGTCTGAATACTCCAAGAATACTTCACCCAGTGCTGTCGCCTGTCTCATGCCATCTCAGGTGCCTTATCATCCACGAGTGTGCCTTGAAGGGTGAGTGTGTCCCCAAGTATACAGACTTCAATAGCCGTGTGGTGTGGAAAGCCCAGGAGACCACAGGTACCACTTGTCACTGGAAGCCGTGGAAGAGCATCTTGAGCTGGGGCACAGTGGGGAGCAAATGAGGCCTTGGGTTGGGAACCACCACTGGGGAAGGGGAGGGGAAAGCAGCGTTGCAGAGGCGCTGTCCTCTTGATTTGGTTGGAGCTGCTGGGGACTCAGGCCTTGCCCGTGCTAGGTCAGAGTTTACGGCTGATAGGTCCCCAGTCCCAGAAGCAGTGTCTCTAATCATGCCTGCGTGGAGATGGTTCTTCTTTGCATGGTTGGCTTGGACATGTATAGCAAACCACGTGCTCCTCAGCGTTACCGTAGAGCCCTTGGGGTACTGGACTGAAATACCGGCAGAGGTGTTGATTTAGTACCACCTGTGGCCTCCAGCCAATACCAGTGTTAGCTTACCCTTGGAGGGCTTGTGCCCTCTGAAACGTATGTGCAGGACAAGATATTTGTTTTAAAAGCCCACGTTCATCAAGATTAGAAGTTTGCCCTGTGACAAAGCTGCTTCGGGACTTTGACAAGTGAGATGCCATAGCCGAACTCAGCAGAGTTGTCTTCCCATCCATTCCGAGCCTCAGGCTCACAGGAGTCTCTTGCAGATGAACTTTTACACAGAAATAAATGCCTCAGGGTTGAAGATCAGAGGACTTGAAGGAGTCAGCTCTCTCCTTCCATCATGTGGGTCACAGGGATCAATCGCGGGTCATTAAGATTAGCCACAAGTGGCCTTGCCTTCTAAACTCCACCAGCCCAGATTTTTCCCCACCAATTTATCTTAAATAATTGTTGTTTTCTAAAGTACTAGAAGGTTTAAAAGCAGGTTAACCATTGTGCAAAATACAGGGATCTCCCACCTAAAAATACATAATGGGAAAAAAAGCATTTGTAAACTTGTTAAAGTAATGGCTGGTGTATGTATTTCCTTTATGTGAAAGGCTTCTAGTAGCTTGAATAATTGGCATCTTCATGTGAATTTTTGAGGGCAAGGGATATAGGGTTCTGCGAGGTTGCTCAAGCTGGCCTCAAACTCCTCCTCCTCCTCCTCAGCCTCCCCCTCACCAGGCTGGATAAGTCTCCATACCACATTCCATCCTCGATAGGTCTTCTGAAAGTCTGCCCGAGTGTCACACATGCAAGTCTGGGTTCTCATTCCATGTCAGCGCCAGGACGTCAGGTAGCCTTGGGGATGGGAAATGCCTTCCTCATCTGTGAAATGGAGATGGGGCTGGGGAGATGGATCAGTGAAAGAGCACTTGCCACACAAGCCTGAGGACCTGAGTTTGAATCCAGCAGCCAGGTACACAGCCAGGCGTGGCTGCGCGTGCCTTGTAACCCAGCATGGGGGACGGGGGAGATGGGCAGATCTGGAGAGCTCTCTACCAGCAGAGCTAAAATGGTGAGCTTCCAGTTCAGTGAGAGACCCTGGCTCTATCCCAGTCACCTCGGTTTCCAGGGAAGTCTTCGCTGTTGTGTGGCATCTGGATGGGCAGTTTTGTTTTTCTTTAAAGTCCTGAATGTATAAGTGCAAGTATTTGGTGTGAAGGGATGTCTACTCCGTCCACCCCACCCCTCAAATTACCTATAGTGCAGCATTCACCAGACGCCTCTCTGTGGAAACAAGGTTCTATCTTTATTGCTAGTGTTGAATCATAAGGCATGGGGAGGGGCAAGAAAGGGGGATGGGTATGATACACACATGGGACAGTGTTATCATGAAACTTGTGATTTTTGTATGCTGACCAAAAAAATTAAAAATAAGGTAGAGTCTAACCCAGTTTATGCCAAAAGACGCAAGAGCTCCTGGGAAAGCAGAGGCCACCTCCAGACTTAGAGCCTGTGGTGGCTCATCTGTGTTGACTGTCAGCAGGATCTAGAACCCCTAGAAGACAAACGCTGGCCATGGGAAAACCCATCCTAAGTAGTGAGCCGAACAGTGCCATGGTCCGGTGTTCCGAATACAAAAGAGAAATCGAGCTGAGCGACAACGTCCATCTCCGCTTCCCGAATGAGGGTGCAATGCGTTCAGCTGCCTCACGGTCTTGCCACTGTGACTTCCCCGCCATGATGGACTGTCCCCTCGAACCAAGAGCGGAATAACCCCTTCCTTCCCTAACTGACAAGGTGCTTGTCCCAGCTATGAGGGAAATAACTAATAGAATTCGTGTCCATGAGATTTTCCTGTGTTCACATAGCCCCAGGCCAGGGGGTTCTCGGAAGAGCAGGGTTAGTCCCCAAGAGAGCCAAACAGCTGAAGGGTCAGTGTGGTGAGACAGGAGAGGAATTTATATCGGTGTGGCCAACGCCAAGGACAGATATCTAGGACCTAAGCTCTGTCTGTGAGGTGCTAGGAACAGTTTTAGGATTAAGTAGGGGAGGAACAGAGGCAGAGCAAGTGCACCCAGAAGTAGTCATGGCTAGGGGCCAGGCTGGCCATTATTACCTCAGGTTGCTGTTACTTGAGGGGTGCCATTTGGGTGTCCTGTGATAAGGTGTTGGGTGTTCTGTCAGTCATGGGGTGTTAGGTATGCTTTCATGGGGTGTTGGGTGGCCAGTCAGTCATGGGGTGTTGAGTATGCTTTCATGGGGTGTTGGGTGACCAGTCAGTCATGGGGTGTTGGGTATGCTTTCATGGGGTGTTGGGTGTCCTGTCCATCATAGGGTGTTGGGTGACCAGTCAGTCATGGGGTGTTGGGTATGCTTTCATGGGGTGTTGGGTATGCTTTCATGGGGTGTTGGGTATGCTTTCATGGGGTGTTGGGTATGCTTTCATGAGGTGTTGGGTGTCCTGTCCATCATAGGGTGTTGGGTGACCAGTCAGTCATGGGTGTTGGGTATGCTTTCATGGGGTGTTGGGTGACCAGTCAGTCATGGGTGTTGGGTATGCTTTCATGGAGTGTTGGGTGCCCTGTCTGTCATGGGGTGCTGGGTGTCCTGTCATACGATGTTGGGTGTCATGCTTTCAGTTTGTTCTACCTAGAATGCGAGGTCATCTGGGAAAGAAAAAAGGCCCCAGGAGAAAACAGGCCAGAGAGACAATGAAGTCTGTTAGAGCGGTGGCCAGCTCTGTCAGAAGAGGGGTGAGGACACTTTCAAAGGCATTCTGTTATACTTGGGGGTTTTGTCGATTTAATTTTGGATTATTATCTTTTTATTTAATGTGCATGGGTATTTTGCCTGCATGTATGTCTGTCCACCATGTGCCTGGTGCCCACAGAGGCCAGAAGAGGGTGTTGGATCCCCTGTAACTGGAGTAACAGGTGGTTGTGAGTTGCCAGGCGGGAGCTGGAAATTAAGCAAGTCCTCTGCAGGAGGAACAAGGGCTTTTAGCAGCTGAGTCTACTTTATTTCCCCAGCCCGTTACATTCGTTTCTGGTTTTGTTTATTGTTGACAATCCAGAGGTTCCTGTGCAGACAGACTTTCTGTCATTTGACTGCATCCCCAGCCTTCCCATGTGCATTCAAGTGCAGACACAGACATGCTCACGTCTGCAGAACCAACCGGTGTCTCCCTCTCCTACCTCCAGCACCCTCTCTCGGGTCCTCACTCTTTTCAGTCATATCAAAAAGCAAATGTGTTCAGCTTAAATTAATCGATACAAAGTGTTTTCTTTCATCAGTAAATAAGGTTCTTCCACTTTGGTTAGTAACAGATTCTCAGCTTAAAAACACAACTGTTGGAGAAATTTAGTTGTAATCAATGTTTTGTTTTTTTTTTTTGAAACCCAGGGCAATTTAATTTTTTTTTTTAATTAAGGGGTGTGGTACAGGGGACTGGACCTAGGGTCTCTTATATGATAGGCAGGTGGTTCTCCCACTGAACTGTATACTTTGTGATTTTATTAGTTTTGTAAATTTTTATTTGTTTTTGTTAATTTTACACGTTTTTATAATATGCTTAAAGGAAAACCATACACATTTTTTATTAGCCACAGTTAAATACAGTTAGGCATCTGCAGTACCATTTAAAGGTAATAAACCTGAATGTCCTGTCCCAACCATACACACACACACACACACACACAGCCTTCAGCACAGACTGCTCAAGAGGGGCTTGTCACTGGGTGGGGGTGGTCAGCCACGTGGAAGCCCCTCTCCTGGATGGCCCTGTAGAGCGTGATGTACTTGGAGGCCAGGCGCGTCCTCGGGATCACGTACTTCTCCGTGAACTCCCTCTTGTCCAGCTGCTCTTTGCCTTCCATGGCAAGGACACAGTTAACGAAGGTGAGGGCAAAGCTGGAGCAGTTGTGGTGGTTCTCGTCATACCTTGAAGAGAAGAGTGAGCTCCAGTGACGTAAGACAGCCATCACTGCTTTCCAGGCTGGGCTTGACCCCTGCCTCAGGAGAGGCAGGATGGATGAGGCCACCATGCTGGCCCTTGAGAATGCTGACATTAAAAGCTGCTTGGTCAGCCAGGCAATGGTGGTGGCGCACGCCTTTAATCCCAGCAGTCAGTGAGTTCGAGGCCAGCCTGGTCTACAGAGTGAGTTCCAGGACAGCTAAGGTTTTTCAAAAAAGAAATAAGATTATGAAATATAATATAGATTTTCTGTGTATATTTAAAAATATTCTCATAGCTGGGCATAATGACATCCTCTGATCCCAACACTCTAGAGGTTGAGGCAGGAGGATGGTGATCTCGTAGCCAGCCTGTGCTACACAGTGAGACCTTGTCTTGGGGGGAAAAAAAACAATGGCTAGAGGATAGCTCAGCAGTTAAAAACCCTGTCTGATCTTCAAGAGGACCCAGATTCAGTTCCCAGCACCCACACAGCAGCTTACTCCAGTTCTAGGGATCCTCTGACACCTTCATGTTTCCTTCTCGGGCACTGCATGCGTATGGGGCACACTTACTCTCAGGTTAAACCCCCGTACACATTGAAAATATATAAAATTCTTACAATAAATCTTAAAAATAAAAGCCTCCTGTCAGATCAGTGAAATAAGTAAGCAGGGCACGAAGCCCTCAAGACACTGACTGAGTGTGCAGCAAGAGTGTTTGCTGGCCCTGCTCCTCAGAAAACTTCCACGGCCCGAGTCCTGTGGCTGTTACTTTGCTGATCGCTGGGACCAACTACTGACAAGCAGCCTCTTACAGGAGGGCTTTATTTGGGCTCTGAGGGACCTGTCCAGCCTAGCGTCCTGTGGGAAGGCTGCTGGCAACCGAGGGGAGGCTGCCGCTCACATCTCCGAGGAGCAAAAAACACAGAGGGGACAGGAAGGAAGGCAGCCTCCGAACCCCAAGCCCTGTCCCACGACACCCACTTCCTCCAGCCAGGCCCCACCTGCCCAAGCTGCACAGTCTCCCTCTCGTAATAGCGCCACCATCTGGAGAACCAAGGATTCAAGCGTGAATCTTTGAGGGACATTTTCTAGTCATTGATTGGATTTAACTGTTCTCACAGACTGACAGTCTCAAGCGTGGACTATACTTGAAACCCAGCAGTGACCACAGACCAGTGAGGATGCTACTTACATGACAAAAATGGGTGGCGGTGACTTGTAGTCTTTCTAGACACCTACCTGTGAGGCAGCCAGGCCGGCGAAGCAGAGAAGTCTTCCAAGTACTTGTCCCACTGGTCCATCAGTCCAAACATGCTGGGCTGCACTAGAGGAACGCTGAGACTCTGCTCCCACCCCGCCTCGTCACGCTGTATGCCGTGTGCGTTGTAGTTATACACGACCCCTGAAAACGCAGAGCCAAGACAGTCCCCTGTGGCAGGTGCTCAGAAAACGACAGAAGCCATCCATCCTGTAATCTGTGTCACACTTGTCCACAACTGTCAGGGCAGCTGTCCCTCTGGAGCAGTGCCCCTCAGTCTTCCTATTGCTGCGACCCTTTAATACAGTTCATCGTGTGGTGCTGACCCCCCCAACCATAACATTTTATCGTTGCTACTTCATAACTGTAGTTTTGCTGCTGTTCTTAATCATAATGTAATGTAAATATCTGATATTCAGGATATCTGATATATGACCCCAAGTGGGTTGTGACCCATAGGTTGAGAACCCTGATCTAGGGAGATACAGAGAGTCTTTTTTTTTTTTTTTCCTTTTAAAAACTTTTGTTGTTGGGGTTAAACCCAGGGCCTCATGCATGCTAGGCAAGTATCCCGCCACTATGTCTCCCAGGAATATCTCAGTGGCCTCTGAGCTAAATCCTGCCAAAGGAACATGGTGAGTAATCTCCTGCTTTTGACTTTTGTACTTGAGGTGGGACCCAGAGCCAGACTCGGGGTAGGCAAGTGCTCTGACACAGCCACCCCAGTCCACTTTTCTAAAGCCAAAGACTGCAGACCTCACCACATCCCGTTTCACTCTTCAAGTCTAAAGCACTGGGACCCAGCGTGGTGGGGAGACCAGCGTGGTGGGGAGACCCAGTGTAGTGGGGAGACCCAGCGTGGTGGGGAGACCCAGCGTGGTGGGGAGACCCAGCGTGGTGGGGAGACCCAGCGTGGTGGGGAGACTCCGTATAGTGGGTTGTGAGAGGGGAACCAGAAGCTTCAGGCCTGCCATCTGGTTCAAACACAAGAACTGAGATCTTGATCGACTCAACTTCTGACCATCCGTTGTTTCTTTCTCTTTAAACCCAACAAAGATGTGTGCAGGTTTGTGATGCTCTTTCTGAGGAAACATTAGACCTTCCCAGGGGCCGGGTGCGGCTCAGTGGTGGTGTGGGTTGATCATGCCTGGGTCCCATCCTGGCACCACTACAAAGTGTTCTTAGTCTTCCAAATATATAGACTATAAGTAGTGCTGACTTGCCCAAGTCACATGACCTGCTTTGGGTTGCAGGAGGAGAAGCAAGGAAGGCAGAATGGGTGTGTTGTTGCTGTGACCTCATCCCAGCTGGAAACCCTCCTTTCCCCTTAGGGAGGTTTTCTTACGGGGTTTTCTTACGCTGGAAAAATGGAGGCAATGCTCACCACGTGTGTTAGTGAGTCCAACGTGCAGATCAGACTTTCCATCGTACTCCCTGAAACAGAGGGGTTGTTTGTATTGGGTGTTAGTTTGATAAGAAGTCCTGCTGAATAGCCCAGGCTGTCCTGGAACTCAGGATCTTCCTGCCTCAGACCCCAGGGCAGCTGCAACTGCAAGTGTGCCATCTTGCCTATTGGCAAGCACTTCATGCCAAGCATGACTGAGGCATGGGCATTTAAAAGAGGAGTGTGTACACCCCACCCCCACCCCAGTAGCCTGTACCAGGCCCTGCCATCAGTTGCAGGCTGGCTAAAGGGTACAGCAGAAGCAGAACTCAGGACCCCCACACCCCCACGGGCATATGGTGGAAGAGCTTCCTCCTCCCCTCTGGGAGTTCACGCACTATCCCACCAGCTAATGGGGGTGAGAGCGTCCTGGAGGCAGCGCAGAGACTCTCCGCCTTCTTCACCACAGCTCAGTGCAGCCTGTGGCCCACTGCGCTCCCTATTGCTGTTTCTTACCGTTGCTCTGTCGGCTTGAGATTGTTCTGGTTTGGGTTGGTTAGTTCTGGGATCAAACCCAGGGCCTTACTCATGCTCAGCACATAGCTTTCTCTGTCCCACACACACACCCTTAAAATTGTTCTTTTTTATTTGTTTGTTTTTATTTAGGACACAGGTTCACCATGTAGCCCAAACTGGCCTTGAACCTGTAACCCAACATCAAATGTTTTGTTATTGTACATTAACAAAATAATAGACTTCATTATGACACTTTCTGGCATGTATCTAACGTGCTTTGATTAGGTTCCCACACCCTGCTCAGTAGGTCATTCCTAGGGCACCTTCCTAGTATTAGACTCAAACCTGGATATCTGGTACTTCAGTAGAGCAAGCAACTCCAGCTTTTTTTTTTTTTTTTT